ACTATCGTCTGTACAGTATGTAAATTAGGTGCCGTAAGTCTAATACAGTACTGTAATTTTATACATTTCTTGTGAAAGAAACATTTCTTATTCAATGGCAATAAAAATTATTTATATTAATAATGTCTCCAAATTTCAGCGAGGTTTTCGCAGAAAAATAACATCAGAAATCGCGGCCGCGGTTTGCTGAGCTGTTCCGCGACGAAAACAAGCTTGAGCAACGGCGATGTCGAATGGTGCACACTCGGTAAGTAATCCTACAATTTTTTGTTTATAGCGTAGTTTATACAGATTATTTCCAAAAAAAATATACATATTTTGGAAATGTTGAGTCGGATTAGTCTAGGATCGATTAATTTTATGGAAGAAAACCTTTCAAACAGACGTAGTCCGTAAACTTCACACGTGTCGGGCTGTGATTCCTACAAAATCGGATTCATAAAGAACGGAACGTATCTACCATCTTATAGGGGGATCTACTGTACAAATACTATTCAAATAAAACTGAAATGAAAATTTGAAGCCATTTAAATTGCAATGTATACATTGCAATAAACTTAAGTTGGAGGCAAACATATTTCATAATCAACATAACAAACATATAACATAATCTTATTTCAGTTTGGCATCTCATTATAATAATAGTGGTGATTATTATTTGATTATTATTCTATATTTTGAAACAGTGCTGTATCTTTAGTTTTTCAAAACCGCAATGCAGCGTAATAATCAACACTTGGCATAATTCATTCATTTATTTCAGTTTTTGTTGATTATTATTATTTTTTTCTTAAAATGGTATTAAACATGCCAAAAACATTGCTTTGTTAGCAAATTCTTGCAAAATTATATTACAAAAATTTCTCTACAATATTAACTTGCAGTTTTATCCACATGAGCTTACTAAGAAATGACATGCATTTTGAAAAAATTTTACTAATTTTATATTTAAATATATTTAGGATTATCATTAAGTATTACTTTTAAATAAATATAACTAAATGCAAAATAATCTATCATTTCATAAAAATGATATATTTTAAAATAAAAATACTGTATAATTATTTAATTATAAGCAAAATACTTTTCATCATTGGTACAATAATTGTAAATTATGCCATCTTAAAAACAGAATTAAGTAAGATTTTTGAATATGCTATAAAATATTCTTAATAAAAAAGAATATAACTTACAACAGGTATAGCATTTTAAAAGATGAGTATTTCTGATTCCTTCTATATTATTTACATTAAGGTCTACAAATAGGCCGCTGAAAAAGTTTAAAGTTAATTCATTCATTATTAATTTATAAATTTACTATTAAAACAAGTAGTTAAGAAAATTACAACTACATAAATTGAATAGTTTTTATAACTTTCATTTATATTATGACTAGTCAAAGTATTAACACCACAAAAATTACATTAATTTTTTAAAATCAACAAACAAGATAATTAGTTTTAAAATTGGAGTCCATGTTTGTTTAGAGGCACATTATAGTAAATCACTTATGAAACAAATATAAAAATGTATTTAAATTTAACTAATAACAACTGTTTTACATTTCATGACAAAAATGAACAAATTCAGTAATATAAAAAGGACATTTTCAGGTTATTTTTAACAACAAAATTTTTTGTTTAAAATAACTTGAATTTTAAATAAAGTCAAGAACCATTTTTAATATAGGACTTGTACAATATAAAATATTTTACAATTTTAAGTTGTTTACAATCAATTAGCTACTGAAAGATCAGTTATGCACATGCCATTTTATAAACACAATAGAATCTTTTTTAAAAAAATACCCTTTCCACAAATTACTGAAATTTAGTACAAACTAGAATAGAATAGAAGGGTGTAATACAAAGAAAGAAAGAAAGAGGGAGGAGAAAAAACAAGTTAATAATGTTATAAATGAATAAATATCATCATAATACTCAGTGAGATTTTATAAAACTTACTCACTAAATTTAGATAACTTAAGTGAATAGGAATCATTTATTTTATTCAAGTTTAGTAAAAAGATACCATTTAATAAACTGTAAAATAAACAAAATTTTTTACATGAATGATTGAAGATAATTTATGTAATAAAAAATTCTGCAATGAGTTGCTTAACTTTTCCAGAAACATTTAAAATTTTGGTGGCACTATCTATTACAATATTTATTAAAAACTTTATAATTTTAATTATAAAATAACAAAAAGCTTAATTTTAAGGGTAGGGATGGGTTTTATAAAAAAAAATTGTAAATGTTAAACTGTTATTAAGTCTGACCCTACTCAAGATGTGACACATGACCCCCTTATCTCCCCATCCTTCAACCTTTAACCACCAAAATTTAATAATGTCAATCCCCTAATAAACCACCCTGAAAAATTTCAGAAATTTTTGACAAAAAGCACAAGAGTTATTAAGCTTCAAAGAAGGTGAAAATAGTACCACTCAAACACCCATACATACAGAAAAAAAATCCCCTAAATTTTTTCCAGTTTCTTGACATTTCAAGGTCGATGAGTAAAAAAAACTTGGGGGACCATTTGATCAATCACCATACTTTCCCTCTGTTATATATAAAAGAGGCAGGAAAGTAAAAATAAGAAAGAAAAAACAAATTAAATCTAATCATTTTTATTTATTACAATTTTTTTGTTTTTATTTAGTAGAGATTGTAGTTGAAATTTCAATTTTTTAATGAAAATTTTGAAGAAATTTAAAATTAAATGTTAATATTTGAGGTTAAGAACTCAGTTCATAGGTATAACAGTTTAATTATTTTACAAATGTTTTCAACAAATACAAACAGTCTTCATCAGAAAAATGAATACTGTCAGAGCAGCTATAACCAAAGTAGAATATCATGCTAGCAAATTTAACTACATATGTCATAACATACAATCTTTATTCCCACTATCTATCCTATACAACAAACATGAATACCAATATTGTGTGCATCAGTCATCCCTGACATGAATAAATCTATCTAAAAACTTTTTAAACAAAGTTTGATTATATCTTTTCAATTTCCCCTTCTAGCTCGAGAAGGTCATGCACAGAACACATTTTACTTTTTCAGATGCTGAGGTATGTACACTGTACTGATCTCACCCAACACTAATAACTCAATCCTGCAATACAGACAATTATACTATGTTCGCACACAATCCACGACTCACTTCGATCTCGATTTACCTACAATCTGGATTGTGACTGTCGCTAGTCGAACGTTGTGTTGTTCGCACAGGCAGTCCGCTCGAGAAGAACCTGGCTATTACACGCGATTATAAAACTGACATAACTACGTGGTAAGTCACAAACACCAACAAAGAAAATGGAAGTTTTGGTTAGAAATAAATACTTTTTCTTGCCGTATATCTAATAATAGACAGATGTCGTCGTCTCTCCAGATGTCTTTTTTATTTCTGTCAATAGCCGGACACGTGTTCCGCAGCCATCTTGTATTTTCTCGCACGCGTGGGATTGTGGGATCTCTCTTATGACTGGATCTATTTTCGAGAACTCTCTCCAGTCGATTGCGATTGAAACGGTCGAGAGCGTTCGCATCACGGAACACTCTCCGACCTTAGTCACAATCTAGATCGAAATGCTCTGTGCAAACGGGGTATTAGTCATCCATTTATTAGAATATAAAAAGGTTATTAATAAAAAAACAGATTTTATATTGGCAAGTTCAGTAACAAGTTCAGTACAAGAAGAATATACTGCACTGGAAAGATGTCTCCCTATTAGAATATGTATCCAATCCAAAACAAATTTTTATTTAGAAAACTATTAATTTATTAATACAGTTAATCCCATTAACAACCCACACATTATCCACCAGACCATTGACCAACCATATACAAATTCTTAATGTTATCTCATCTTACTGGCTGGTCTTATTGCAAACTATTTGTTAATTTAGTCTTTAGGTTTGTTGTGAATTTTAACTAAGTGAATATTAAAAGGAGAAAGACTGACTCTTTAATCAGTCTTCCTCCTTTTAATATTCACTTAGTTATTTTATTATTATTCTTTTGTTTTATATTTATTTCCGAACTTTTTACTTACTTAAAGTTGTTAAGTTGTTTTTTTTGCTTTGCACATGAAGATATTTTAAAATCTATGTTTTCTTCTAAACATTTTATTCTTGCTGCCTGATAGTTTGTACTTGTTAAAAATGTAAATTAATTACACTGTTAATTAGCATCTGTAAACTTAACTTAATAATTTGAAAATAAATACTATCATAGCCAATCTATATTGCAACTAAATGTTAACTTAATAGAATATAATCTATTACGTTCAAGATAAATATTTTAGAAATTAGTTAATTTAGGTAGAAGTGGATTACCATAATTTCATGCAGATAGCATGCATAGGCACATATTCTACAAAAACTGCTAGAAGGAAGGCATAATCTTTGCATTACTTGCACCACTGTATAATCAGCAGTCACCTACCTTGAAAACATGCAATTTATCCATAGGCAGTTCACACTTTATTATACCAAACATTCCATTTTTTAAAATATTTTATTTCTATCAGCAAGTCATTGTCGGTGCCATTTTTAAATAAGTGAAATAAAAATCTAAAAACTAGATTGAGTTAAAATTGAAAAGTTGTCACTGGACAAAATTTTTTATAGCTTTCTTTATGTTTTATTTATCAAATAATATTAAATATAACATAATAAAAGTACAATAAATGATGATAAATGCTGAGATGAATTAAAAAACAAAATTTAAACAGAAAAAGACTGATAGTATCTATATCATTAAAGAATTGCTTGAGTTGAAACATTTAACAGGGCTTGAGTGGCAATGTGAACAGCCTGGCTCTAGGCAGGAATGATTGACTCTACCAAAGTAAATAAGCAGTAAATAAAGAAATTACTGTTAATTTTACTAAAAAATTTGCACATAAACCTGTCATTGGTTGTTATAGGCTAAAAGCTAATCAATTATTTTTACTTACTGTCAAGAACTAACATATGCTAAAGTTAGTTGGTTTCAAAATAATTGTCTGGAAGTCATATAAAGGAGGGAAATTTCCAGAAAAAAGCTTTCAAGAAAAAAATCAAACCTTGGCCTGAGTGTGGCATGACTGATTCCTCGTGTTAATTTTCCTGATGCACCTTTTAAAAAGGCATCAACATCAGCATAGATCTGGATGGAAGGAATAGTGCTCAATTAGTTAACAGGAAAAATATCCTTTTATTAAAATCCATAGTTACACATGTCATTATTCAGTTAACACTTCATGAAGAGAAGGAGAGAATAAGAAGTTACAAGTCAAAGTCTTACAATATCTGTTGGCTCTGGGAATCTAATGGGCATCCTCATAGACAGTGACTTGATGATTTCCATTGAATTCCAGTCATTCATCCTTTCCAAGCCTTGATCTGAAGCCTGAACTTATAGAATCTGGTGAGACATTTTCAATATATTTTGCATTGTCACATAAGAAGGTAACAACATAGTTCCTAGAATTTCAATGATACATTTTCAAAAATTCAAAGTTAAAAAGTAGTAAGCAATTCATAAATTTTTGTGAAGCACTTTATCAAAGACTACATGACTCAATAGCATCATGCTGACTCATGTTTCAGATCACTGGTTTGTGTCTTCATGAGTGACTGTTTTAATCAATGCATGTGTTAAATAATTTTAAATTGAATGGGTTTATATTGTTTCTCTACTTATTTTCTATTAATATACATTTACTTATCTTGAAAATTAGAATTAAGTGTACTTCTTGTTAAAATAATTTTAATTAAAGTTTTTTTTTTAAATCAAAAAATTTGGACACTTGATTGATAAAACATTTATTTGTTTAGTTATATTAATTATTATAAGTAGATGGACCAGTATACGAGGCAAAATGATATTTGTTATAGAAACAATATGGTTAGACACTGATATGCAATTTTTAGTCAAGTGACTGACTCACTACTGCAACCAAACAGTTGATCTACCATGATCTGTGCATACATGCAACTGAACTATTGCATATTTTAAGTATTCACCCTAGTTTAGACTTTTCATCCCCTCAGGCATATATGTAAACGTTCCAGGAAAGATCATCCAGTTGTAAACAAGCTGAGACAGCAGTGTCAGATTTCATAGAAAGGCAAGACAAAGGAAAATAAATTTTGAAGCTTTCTCTTCAAAATTAATGCATTTATTTTGTTTTTTTTCCAGTTTTAAGTATTTTTTACGTTTAAATTAATATTAAAATGAGGTAGACAAAGTGGTAAACACAGTCACATGATGGATTTTGAAGATGACTTGTCTATGCTCTAGAGATTCAAAGAAAAATAAACAAGGGAAAAAATATGCAAACATATACTGTACAGTACATTATTAAGTAATAATGTTCTCCAACCTCAATTAATAAAAATATACAGTAAAACTTCACAAAACATGACTTATTAACTTATCTTGCAACACAATTTAATAAATATATTGATTATTATAAATTTGCCTCTTACCTTCTTATGAAAACACCCCAACACACTATTATAGTGAACACCAAAACTTAACTTAGTTGTCTGGGCTCAGTTCCAACTAAACAGTCAGACATGTTTAAACAATCAGTTTACATTGTAGTTGCACAATCATTTGAGCTATGATTCAAACTAAATCAGCCAACAGAACTATTGTGAGAGAACAGTCCCATAGGAGTCTATAGGTGTTACTTGTACAACTACAGTTGGTCAACTAAAAATTGCATGGTAGTGTCTAGCCTAAGTCATGTAATTGCTTCCATAAAATGCATAAGGTGTCTTCCCCAAACACTTACAGGGTTTTTTTAAATCATCAGGAATAAAAGGTACTTCATTAGCATTCATAATTTTCTTTTCACCCATAAGTTTTGAAGTGAACCATGCATAATGCAATATTTTTGCAAAAATAGAACTGACAGTTCATGAATAATTGAATAAATTTCTATGCAATCTAAGGTGATATTTCACATTCTTGTTCAATTAAGATGTAAACATTTTTTGACAGAACCTGAAAGATTTTTGCTTGTCTCTAAAATCAAATATTATAAGGTTGACAAAGATACATACTTAGAAGGAATGACTCTGATAATAAACATTACCAAATCACCAGTCCTGCAAATATGAATAAGTAGCATTGCTGTTGAGCAATGTGGTCTTCGGTAAAATATTTCACAAAACTTTAAGTCATTAGGGATTTTTTTTTAAATGTTTGAGAAATGTGCTTTCTTCCTTTATTCCAACAGTATTATAGAAATCTTCAAGGACCAAGAAACTTTTCCTTGTTCCATTGGCAAATCCCCACCTTAACTTCCAAATCCTTCTCTCTGCTGCTTCCAAACTCCCTAATATTACTTTTTACCTTTGAAATGCAATCTTTTGAATAGCTTGTCCATTTTCACCCAGGACCTGAATAACTTCACATCACTCAGGTGATAAGTGGTTAAGCTTCACACAGGAATATATTGTTTATTTGTGTGAATCTGTCTAAATACAAAATACATTCCTTTTCTTACAGTAGCAAAGGCGGTCCCCATCAGGACATCAAACAAGCATGAATTGATGCACAGAAAAACAGGAAAGAACTAAAGACAAAACATGTATGTGTATGCATGGCTTTTGGCAAGATTCTAGGACAAATGTAGCAAAATTTCGTCCCCCCAAATTGTAGAGCCCCCTGTGCGAGCAGAAAAGTCAAAAGGACCATGCCCGTACGGGCGACCCTAAGCGAGATATAGCCCTCCAAAGATGCGCCTACGTCACATCCAGTCACGTGACTCCGAGCCCAAAAGGGACGGCGTCACGTGGCCGAAATTTTTTTTTTCGGTTTTCCCCATCTCAGTGTTGAAAAAAAATCGTCAACTCCCCCTTCCTTAGCCCCCAGCGCGCGTCTCCCCCTGGCACGCGGCCGGCGGCCCGAGTCTCCCGCCTGCAGCCTTCAGGAGTCGCCATCTGTTGCCTGTAAATACAAATATCTATTATTTATTACACCTCTTACCTCAGCCGGGGATCGAACCCCAGTCCCAGCAGGCGCCGATCCACTTCTCTCCTCACCGGCCCGCCAGATCGCTCTGTAGAAACACTTCGGAACTCATACTTGAGCCATGCTAGGCCGAGGAGCTCACTGCGCATGACGGGCCCTCCGGGCGGCCCCCATCGGCCACACAGATTGAGCGCGCCGCGCCACGCGGCCACCCCCCGCCGTTCAGGTGCAGCGGGCCCGTCGCGCGGCCAATGGCCGGACGCTCGTAGGTCACTTGACCTAATCCCGGCCCACCGAGGTTTCATAAGCCTTCAGGCCGCCTTCGGGCATTTTCGGCCGGTGTTTGTTACCGCATTAGTTAGGAGTACAAGTCAGTAAATATTCAGCATTTGTGATATTCCAGTAAATATTCGATATTTGGGTACTTATGGGTTAAGAGGACGCCAGTTCAGTGGGGACGCACTTTCTAACCTAACCTAACCTATTCTAATAAAATATTCGATATTTGGGTACTTATGGATTAAGAGGACGCCAGTTCAGTGGGGACGCACTTTCTAACCTAACCTAACCTAACCTAACCTATTCTAATAAATTAACATAATTATTACCAATTAATTACCGAAGGATACTTGTACTCGAACCCAGGATTATATGCGATTGTTCGAATAACATCGGGCGATCCCATCTTCGTCGTCGTCGACCTCCTGGACATAGCCGAGGAGGAGGAAGCGGCAGCGGTGACCGGCGGTCTTACCCCGGCTTCTCCTAAACAAGATCAGAAACGGGCCAGTCATCGTCGGGTAGCAAGAAAAGGAGACTCTGCCGAAGGTGAGTGTATAATCTGTTTTGTTGGCTTTTTCCGTCGTCAGTTACAATGTGTTAGAGATAGGGAAATAGAAGCACGCTCAGTAGAGCGGCGGCGGCGGCATAGAAAGCGTTGCCTAATTAGCGGCATTTTTGGGGGCCTATATCTCGCGAAGGGTCGCCCGTACGGGCATGGTTCCTTTGACTTTTTTGTTCCTATCGATATGCTCTACTGCTCTGTCAAAGTCCCAATTTTCTACATTTGTCCTAGAATTGTGCCTGGCTTTTGATAGTACTGAGAAAAACTAATGGCAGCAGACTGCAGTATATAAGAATTTAACTTTTTTTAACCGCACTTGGTACAGTTATAAAAATCTGTTTGATAAGTTTGTAATTAAAATTTAAAATGGCAAATAACTCTGTACTTTCAAATTAACTTTGAAAGCAGATATGAAAAATGCAGGTGAACTGTGATTCATCTACACAAAATTACAGTAATACAAAATAAAATTAAATGTAAAATAACATGAATATACAGAATAAATTATCTTAAAGACATGTATAAATTATAGAATTATACATATGTATATTTACCTATTACAATCAATAAACCTCAATAAAGGAACTTTGGCATTAATTAGAGTAGGGTGTGAAACAAAATCTGGAAAAAATAAAAATGTTTAAAAACAAAGTTTTCATTTTGTATGAAAATAACTTTTTAACTATTTACTACTACTATAAAAATTAGATTAGATTAGTTATTAGATAAAAATTTGCATTGCAAAGTGAAAAATTCATTTCACAATTTTGGAATATCAATATAAAACAAATTTTTAAGATCCTCTTTTTTATATATTTCATTTATTTAGAGAATAAATAGGCTTTGATGAAAATTACTCAGACTATAAAGTAATTTAGTATTAATATAATTTAAAAGCTGAACTATTTAAGCTCTTGTTTGATATTACATAGATGCAAAATATTTTTGTAAATTTTAAATCTTAAATAAAATGTAGACCAAATTATCATTAAATAAAATGACAAAAATAATAATAATGTGCAATATCAAGTGCATTTACAGGCTATGATCAGATCTAATTTTTTTTTAAAGAGGCCAGAATAGTAAATTAGCAATGGTGGTAGCCAGATGAGACAGTTAAGATACAGTAGTGTCTCGTAAACTTGGCCTAATGTGGACCGAAGGGTGGCAGAGTTTGTGAAAATGCCGGGTTATCGGGAATGGGGTTAAAAAAGTAAGTATGAGTGTTTCCTCAGAAAATACTGTACTTGTATATATTGTTTGCTTGAGAATACAACAGAGAATAAACTGCCCAAATTCCCTTAAACAAAGGAAAATTACTGTACTTTATGAAGGCATAGAGCCTTTACTACATGAAAATGAAAATTAATGAATACACTGTGTACAGTAATTTACCTGATAAGACAGACCTCAGAAAAATACTTTATGAGGCATAAAGCTGTCTATAATGAAAATTAATTAACTAAGGATTTTTTTTTGCCCTGCCAGGGTGTGGCCGAGTTATCCGAACTGCCGGGTTATCAAGTGCCGAATTTTCGAGAGACTACTGTATCAGTCTCCTGTTCAGGAAACCCAGGATTGAATCCAAGTAATCAAAAAATTCCAAGAATTTTTTCAAAGGTAGTCTATCCCAGATATGTCAGATCCTGTTCATCACCACCCAGCTGCCCAGACTGTGAGCTTGGCCATGCCCATAATGGATACAATTAAAAGACCTTCTTAGTGCCCAAAGGGCAGAAACAAAAATAGCAGTGGTGGGAAAATGCCTTGATTCAATCAATTATATATTGATAAATTATGAGGATTAAAATCAGATTCAAATCTGGATCTCTAACAGTTGCAAATTTGATGTCTCTCTGCACACCATCTGCATAAACATATTTTGATTAAGATGCAATTGCTGTTGCAGAAAATTGTTTTGTTTTTGGTTTAGGTTGATATTTTATATTGTCCAGTTTGTTTTAATAGTTGTCTGTAATTTTCCTGAAAAATTAGAATCTTTCAAAATCATACAATAGAAATATTTCTGCATTATAAAACAGTAAAAACTGTTATATATCTATCTATCTATTAAGTAGATATTTATTTTCAAGTTAGCATGTATCTATTTTTATTTTGTTATTAACTAATAATCTGAGAGGGGAGATCCAATCTTCCATTTGAATACTGATTGATAACATTTTTTCGAAACTGTTCTATGGAACAATAGGACATTATGATTATATAATAATAATAATCATCATATGAAACTTTTAGTCAATAGAAAAACAGTATGAAATTCAGAAATTAACTCCTGCATAAACATACTATACTAGAAAAATTTAATTTGTTTTAATTCAAAGTTCTTCTGGGTGGAAATTTATGCACGTACAGTACAAAAATCACACTTCCAAGTATAAAAATCAATTTTTGTTTTATATGTCAAAGTAAAATACATCATTTTAGATATATTATCTATATTTTATATATATATATATATATATATAAATTCTAACATGTTCAAAATAGCTTTTTGACTAAACAGCAAGTAGAATTTACTATCAATATTTCTGAAATTACACAGAAGAAGTCATAATAATGAGTTAAAGGAACTTGGTTATTTTATTTTTTGTTAAAAACAAATTCTTGAATAGGTCATCTGTTATATTATTATATGTTCTGCATTTAACAAAATTAAAAATTTTATTAAAAACAGGAATCCCTTGTCAACTGCATTTTGAAATAATGCAAATTTCTACCAAGAATTGAGTTAATGAAAATATCCCAAGCCTGCAAGATTTAAATCATTAAAAATTGTTGTAATAAAAGTACAGTGGGTGATCGGTTAACAAACAGATTGGATAATGAACACTTTCACAAAAGATTTTAATGTTTGGACAATGAACACATGATCAAATAATGAACACCCCACAGAACAAACGCAAGAAGAAGCGACGTAAAATAATGAATACTGATTGGTCTTCCCTTGTCTTCGGGCAACAATTTGAAACTTTCCAGAGTGCGGGAGACATCGACACTCAAGCCAGTATATACTGATCGGATAGTATTCCTTTCAACTTTGAAACTCTCCCTTGAAATTCCAGCCTTTTATTTTTCTGACAAAAACAATTCTTTTATGTATTCATGAGACTGTCGGATAGGCACTCATTAAGTTTTGCGTCTGTTTTTCTTTTCGAAAGATGAGAGTATAATAGCAAAGGTAGAGAGTGGGCAGAAGATGCCTAATGTTGCTGGGCAGTATGGCGTGAACAGGTCTACAGTAGGCTGCAATTCAATCTTATTTCAGAAAAACACTGTATAATCAAGAAGACTCAAGCAACTAAAGGAGTAACAAAAATCACATCTGAAAAATAAAGAACATCGAAGAGTTCATAATGGAACCTGAAACGGATCTGATGACAGAACACCAAGAAATTCGGCAAGATATGTTTTCTTCTGAAAAAAAGGATTAATGCCGATATCTGTTATTAAAGATCCTTTGAAGAAGTGGGAGGATATCAGAATAATGGTGTTAGAATGGCAGCCAAACCAGCTTGAGGCTTGGGGGATTTCTACAATTGCAATGCTGTTAATTACTTACGAAAAATCCTGAAGAAGAGAGAAAAGCAATAGACATTAGACAGATTCTTTAACCCTTTCAAACGGAAAAAACATGACTAATAAAAATGCAAGACTGTGTATATGTATTTTTATTATTACATAATACATAATATTTTTATTATTACATAAATAAACATAGTAAGAAAGTATATATTTTTTTATTTTTAGGGGTCTCCAGAATGAATTAATTAAATTCCCATTAAAACCTATGGTAAATCGATAATCGGTTAACGAACAATTCGGAT